TAAACTCTAAAAAGTCAGCATTTATAAGGACCAGGGATTTCGATTTGTCCCTCATTCAAAAGGGATCACGTCTTCACTTTATTCCAACTGTCGGATTTCAACCAGACGTATTCCATAGCCAACCTGTGAACAGAACAAGAAGCAAACCCGTCCCCTAAGTGAAGGAACGCCGGTCTCTGTGCCCTAAACAAAAATGATCTACCAACCCTGGCGTGTGTGTGGCACCACCATGTGTGCAGCACAAACGGCCAATTACATAACCAAAGTGTGGAACATAACTCAAACTGGGTAGACCGCGAGACGGCTATTTCAGGGTCTATACCACCGGTCACTGACACGGTTATAGATGCAAAGCTGGGCTCCTCAATTACTAAGCCTTTGTTGGTCATGCAAATTTCCGTCGAGCAAGAGAATTTGTTTAGAGTGATCTGCGCTGACGATAATGCCAAAATGCTCAAGACCGCGGAACAGATTGCAGTTATTCGATGTAACCCTCTCATGTGGCAAGTGAAAGACTTGTTTCATCACCCTGGCTGGACCTTGATTTTTCCTTCTTTACTCACATATGTTCGTTTGGTAATCCAGTCTCCCTAATTCTATATACAAATTGTATTAGTCTGCAGTTGAAATGCAGCTAAATCGTCCAGGAAGTAAATCTTGCAGCATGGCCACATTGGCTTCTTTTCAAAATATATCACAGAAAAGAAATGTTTCATTTTCGAAGAGTAATTTGCCTATTATCCGGGTGCCCAAGTAAGACCCATATACCATGCATAATAAACTGTGATATATCGTTTCCCTATTATGAATAAATGTTTGCATAATTTGCAACAAACGACTGCTGGAACAAGTACATTGCTGACTTAAAAATCATTTAACTGTTTCCCAGATTTGCAATCTGATAGAAACTGCACCGAATACTTCTGAGACGTGCTCTAGTCTGGTACAAAGCTTGCACGCTGAATGCGATAAACAGAAGAATTTCAAGTACGACTAGCGTTTCTCGCAGATAATGCTCTGAGCAATATAGGCTTTAAATCCCGGTCGGACTACAATACAATCCGACAAAATTGGTTACTGCTATATAGGAGGTGCTACGCCTCAACCATAAGCTTGTAGCGAATACATTCTCAACGACTTTATGGGATCAAACCACGAGCACAACGAAACCCACTGGTTCAAACTCCAAGAAAAGCTGAATGCCAGCTCGCTCTGCGGATTGAGCTCTTATCATGAGTGTGGGAGGGAAAACGAAGGTAGACAATTAGACGTCAGTGTGCCAGAGCGTGAGGAACAATCTCGGACCAAAATAGTAACGACAATAACAATAATGGAGAAACAAAAACAACATAAGGAAGCACGAATTACCTCTGTCCCAGTGCCTTCGTGTCGTTTACGAGAACCAAAATTTCTGTGTCTTGAGGTAACTGAGGAATAGTCGAACGATGGACTTTTCAAATAAATTTGTTCTGTCGGTACTTTGGATCCAGTCCTAGAAGTGACCACATAGGGACCGCTTACGTATGCAGAGTCCTCACCCACACGACTTCTTCGAGCCCAACGCTGTTGGAACCGTTTCACTGCACTGAGTTGCGCACTCTCCTCGGTTGTGTCGGCGGAAGGTTCCTCAACTAGTTGTGTTGGAAATGTGGTGGCTTCCTGGGCAAATTTTAATGCTCCTTTACGTCGATCTGGATTTGTTCCACCAGTTCCACCGCCGTTCCCGCCACCAATACCACCACCACCACCACTGCCACCCATGATACCCCCACTGCTTACACTGCTTTTATTCAAATATGATCTACGTCGCTGTTTTGGCGAAGAGACATCACTACTAGTGAAAAACTGTCCCTCATTTGACTGTATCGTCGTTGGTGACTTCTTATCCGGTGGTTGATCGGTGGTTCCATCGGGTGGCTGATCACCTCCGTTGGCGCGTGAATGGTCACCGCTTCCTGACTGGGAATCCTCTTCCAGCAAAGCATAATGATCTGCTTTATCTGGGAATTTCAAGTCAGACCAATCGATGATCCAGTTCATGGCCTGCAGTTCCGCTTTTCTAAAGGATGATGAACAGCAGATCATCAGATTGAATAGAGGTAGAATGTAATGCAACAGAAAAATAGAGGTGTTTTGTCTCATGATGATATATTTAATCACAGTGATTATTATTTGAATAGCCTTAGAGAAGTCCAAGAGGAAAATAAATGCAATTTGTGTGCTCGACTACTGAGTGATTGCTTTGCCAATGGTCCCGATCTGCAGTATTTCGCTAACGACCGCCGGACTAAAAACGAGTTTCCCAACTTCAATCAAGTCGATCGTTGTATTTCGTGACAAATGGTCTAACGGGAGATCCCCTGAAACATTGATCCATATACATGAACTGATAAAACAGTACATTCAAAGTCGTTAACCATCCTGGTGAATTATGGTGCAGAGCATAGCTGAATTGATTTCATGTTTTCACCCCTAATACGAAATGTATCCGATCAGTTAGAACAAGTTAGACAATCAGAAGGCGGGCCATGACCCACGATCAAGTGTGTTTCAAATCTGTCCTGACAAGAGGCTAGTAGAGAGCGTTGCTCAAGCGCACATTCGGAAACACGAATGTGCATGAGTTGCATTTCGGCCCGCCAAGATGTGTTGCGCCTTGATAGATGTTTGCTAAGAGCAGTTCGAACGCTGTACAAGCACTCGTAACCCTGTGTATGTAATGCCCTTGACAATTCGCCATTCAATTGGAGTGAGTCATATTTATGTGTAACTGTACTCTGAGGCTCATGGTGTTCATATTATCCCTCTTTTGCAGATTGTCAAATAATCGCCTTCAGAAAGAACTTCCTGTCCTTCGACGGTTCCAACCGCCGCCGAAACTCGGTCCACATTCAGCCGTCTCGCGTATCCGTTGACTGGGGACATCTTGATGCATATTAGAGCACCAACTCATTACATCTAACGTCACAGTCTTTGTCAGCATGAGATCCATATATTTATTGCTGTACCCGTGCATAGCCCCACAAGAAACTTAAAGAGAAATTCAAACAAATTATAAACTACTACCACTCCACACCACCCATCGCATTCATAAGGTGATGTTGTATCTCCGTTTTGTTTACCCCAAGGTAATCATCTTTGATCGGTACCCAAAAGGTGTAACCCAGTACTGACGAATTTGTGAAATTTTCAGAACAAGAAAGAGGATCCTCAGAACGAAATATTTTTCATTTTTTCAAGCGCTTCTGACAAGAGACTGGGCACGTTTTTAAACAACGGTTCATCACTGCCCCTGGAGGAAAGCCAAAAACGCATAAACCCCAAAGCACCGAATTTACTGATATGCCCTGTAAACCTAAATTTGATCACCATTCTCCAGGTCATTGAAGTTTATCCATAGTTTCAGTCGTTTGTTTCGAGCTTATCACATGGTACTCGGTCGAACATAGATTTGGAGCGAAACGGTGAGAGATCAGGAATTTTTGTCATCTTTTCATCTCTCTGACACGAGTGTGCGTCGGATGTGTGCATTTTCCTGCCAGAGTGTAGGACGTAAATCAAGATTGTTTGATCGTTAAATACTCATCATTTCC